TTTTTACCCTATATGCATATTATAGTTCTGTCTCCCGTCCAATGGGGAATTTTCCCTCAATCAGTTGACGATTTTTTACTCGATGCAGTGTGGATTTTGCGCTCGTCAGCCACCAGCCCACTTACGGTAATCCTATTTTGTGTTGGGATTAACGTCCAATCCGCAGGGTAACACCGAGCAGTTCTCAGCGCTGAAGATTGCCGAGGCCGGCGCTACAGGGAACATCAACTGATATTCGCTGGCTAAATTAATGAAGTGTTTCTGAAGCGTTAATAACTAATAATGTCTTTAGGGCCCTATGCCTGAATAGGTACATTCACTGAAGAAATATGCATAAGCAACTGCTTGTATAATAATACAACCAAAATAGTAACACAACTAAAAATTTCTATAAGCTGAAAATGTTTAATTTACTATTTAAAAGTTACTAGCGTTTGAGAACGCTAGCCAACTTTTAATGTACAATTTAGATAACTCATTTTATTATGTATGAATCCATGAGTAGAACACAAGACTGATGAACGTTTCATGAATAATTCATTTTCGTTTTTTCGTCGTGAATAAATATTATATTCGAGTGAAAGACACAGTTGTTGCCCCTGAATAATGAATACCTGCATTATTTCCTCTGAATAAATTCTAAACAAGTTCTGTCCAGTTTCCCACAACTTGTTTTCGGGAGAGACTGCCGCCAGCAACAACAAAGTTTGTACGGAAGCTTGGAAATTAATTAAGACAAATTTCCCTGTAAAGGAAACTGTCAGTGTCATGCAGCTGCCATTAACAGTACGAGCTGATTAAAAGCTGACTCACTTTGCTAAATAATCAGCTTCGTGATTAGCTAATTAGCAATTATGATAGTATAGCTAGCTCACTACATACGTATTTCCATACAGCGTCTCTTACACGCACCTATACTCATTGTAATGACTTCTGCATTGGAAAATTGGTTTGATCTCCATAAATGACGTGGTTATATTATATTAGAATAACTCGAATTAATTTCATTTATTTTTTCATTATACACAAGTGGGATTTTGAGCGTCATTTTTTCCTGGACAGAGTATTATGCATTAACAATTTGTAATGGTAATTTATCCATTGATATTCGCAATGGTTTAAATTAAACTGATACTTTCTTACCGTATCTTAGAATAAAACACGAGCATATCTGCGTACCATTTACTGACATGTTTTGTTCATTACACTTACGCAGCTCGCGGTACAAATGGAACAAGGTACAAATAAAAATATCCGCACTACTTCATTATCAAATGGCAGACAATGAATACGTGAGGAAATTGAAGGAACTGAAAGAACATAATTATTGTTCCTACAAAAGACCTGGCTTGATTATTATATTGAGGGTATTGGTTAACTAAGATGGCGCGAATTCAGTTAACTATAATGTAGGAGTGTTAATTTATTGACAGTGTGGCCCAGAGATTTCAGTAATATAATATTGTTTATATATAATTAGTAATTAAGTAATTAACTTTATTAATTAAATTAATTAAATAATTAATTATATAATAAGTAATATACTTAGATTTTGTACGTTATTGCGGACTGGACTTCAGTAAGCGTTATCAAATATTCATGCGATAAATTCCATTAATTGTCAACTGGATGGATTAAATGTCACCTTTAGTGCCTCTAAATAAAGATTATTCAGAGAGTTATTCATGAGTTATATTATTCTTGCACGAGATATATAATTCACACGAGCGTGCTAGTCTCACACACACGGCCGAGCAAATCCCATACGCCCGTGTGAGATTTGCTATTGTTATTATTATTATTAGTCTCACACGGCATTCAAACTTGATTGCTAATTTTCCTCTTATTATCAATAATGCTACTACTACTACTATTAATGATAATAATTACTATTAATGCTACTACTACTACTACTGCTACTACATAATCATCATTAAATACGATTTCTCATTTTTACCTAATTACTATTACTCCTCCTTACACTATCCTTCCATGCCTTATCTTGTGAAGATGTCCGGGATGCTTTAAGTTTCACTGCGTATAATTTACCGCTAACAATTTCCTAAATCCAAATATTGTCTCAGACAGAAAATCAGTTTTGAAATTTTCGATGCGAAAGTTCACTGGTCAACCTATGAATAAAAAAATTTATAATAGAATATTTCATATTCTATATAACCTAAAACTAAATCAGATATTTAACTGAGAGCAAATTATTTTTTCATACCCAATTGAAGAGAAAGAATTTTAAACTGTCAATAAATTTCATTAATGCAGAGGAAGACTCTAGCTTATATTAAATCGTAAAACAAAAATTCATTCCACAGGAGGCTGGTCGAGATGCACAGCGTAAATGTAGCCAAAATTCACTTGATAGTTGAATGATTTTTACTGTAAAAAAATAACGTATTAAACCCGTGGTTAATGCCTGCTATAGATACTTAAATGTTCGGTGCCAAACTCGTAGACTTCCCCTTGATCATAACACAGCCGCCCATCAAAATTTATTAAATAATTATAAGAAAAAAACAATGCCAGAAAATTTACCATTTCTTTATATGAGGAAACGTTTCGGAGTCCAGCTCCATCGTCAATTCAAAATCCTATAAGACATGCAGAATCAATTAAAAAATAGTAATCACAAAAAATTAATAATCACATTTATCAATAATCAATTAATAATCAACATGCAACTCACTGCTCAAATTTTATGGCATGATTTTGGAGCTCATAAACTCGCTAATAAATTACTTTTAAATTTTCAAAGAGTGTGAAACAATTGCTAAAAAATCACTCCTCTGCTTTCCGCAATTGAGATAACATTTTACAAATGCTGACAACAAGTGACAAGTGACAACAGAGATGATTGGGTGTGTGTGGTCTAAGCCAGATTGTACATTTCATTACCTCAATAGAACAAAATTTACAAACGAACAATAAATGTATATATTATCAATTATTATTTTCGTTGAAATCTCGCTCTAACTTCATTTATTGGGCGAAATTCGTGCAGCTTGTGATATAAGAAATTTAAGTTTACAATCGAATTGTTTTCTATCAGCGATTATAGGAGAAAACTTTTGGTGATACACTAAAACAATATAACTCAGTACTCTCTGCTGTGAGTGACAGAGAGCTCATTTTCTCGTCGACGAAAACTTGAGGTCACGGACAGACAGACGGACGGACATGGCGAGCACAATAGTGCATTTTTTCCATAAATGAGAAAATGCGTTAAAAATGTTATGTACACTTTACGCCAATTCTGTTTTCTGACGAACAGTTGTAATTCTCTCGACGATAAGTCTTCAATTTGATCAAATATTTCCAATTTGAATTTCTCCATGAATAGCTAGATCCAATATTCAACATAAATATACAAATTCAAAATAGAATACTCAGGGTGTGTAAGATACTGGAATGACTGGATCAACACTTCGAACTCGTCCATGGAGCTCCAAGTATGAACGCGTTCAAGAACAGACTAGATAAAGCTATGGAAAAATATATGTTCAGATTTGAAATGCCTAGCTCCTTATCGAACCCGGTGGAAGTCTAGTAGCTACTTCAAACTATCGCCAGTCATGAAAAGCTCCGATCAAATGATACGAGTTTAGATCTCAGAAGATACGAGTTTAGATCTTAGAAGAATCGGCGACAGGCCACATCAGGCCTACATTTCAGCGCCGACATCATTATGTTATGTTATGTTATCGTTGAACTATATAAGGTTGACCCACGAGGACTTCCGTTTTTCAGTTCAGTTCTCTTGTTACGTCACGTAGATCGAGGAACGTAAACAAACCCGTCATTCCCATGACGGATTGGTTGACTGATTTGAACGCATTTAGGCGATTGGTTATTGCCAGTGTCGTCATTGAGATCAGTGACGTCACAGGCGAACGACAAACTACATCCGCAAAAATGAGCTTCTGATGGGTCAACCTTAACACGTTGACTACGTATTGGTACATATGCGTACCACGAAATGTATTTCTCCAGGAGGTAGTGGTGCATATTTCAGGTTGCCTAAAATCGGCCAAATCCGAGAACAAAAAAGGCAAAAAAGGCCGATAACTCAATGAATACTAGTTTTTTTGTAGGTTCCTCTATAAAAATTCCATTTATTTTCTTTTAGCAGTATTTAAAATTTAATTAGGAAGTACCCCTATTATAAATTTTAGCCGGCCAACGCAATTGAGAAAAACTAAATCACGGAATTTGTCCGGAAAAAATGACCGGCTGGCAACCCTGCTTAAAAAAAGTACAAAAAATGAAATAATAGTACAAGATGAAGCAATCGTAGTCAACGTGTTAAGATAGTTCAACCATGGAACTCGTCCGCAAACGTGCCAGCAGACTCATTGGACACTGGCCGCTGTGGCAAAGTGCGGTCGAGCCTAGCGGTTAAAATTAAAAGTAACAAGATTGGTGCTGCAAGTTGTGGGTTCTATTAAAACTTACTGGTAGAATTTTGTTTGATTGTGAGCGCGTGGCGGTTAATAATAGCAGGTATTGAGCGGCGACTTATGAACGGCGAAATTCTGTTTAAGTTACGGCCGACGTCACCGTCAACATAATTTCTCAAATACTAGTACCACTACATAATAATCTGGCACAAGGATAGTGCTTGAAATCCAATCGAAAACGAACAAATTTATGTCAGTCGAAGCGGAATTTCGCTCCAATTGCGAGGGAAATCCGATTTCCAAAACAAGGTGTAAAAAACACTTCCTATTTACCCTATCACGGTCTCGTGTTGCGTTATGTTAGGTTAGGTTATTGTGAGAGATTAGTCTTCACAAAAAAAAATATGGAGGTTTAATCATTCCAAACAATATTCGGAGTAACAACTAAGGCCTAAATTTTTAATAAAACGTTGAGGAGCTTTTTCGATTTTATGTACTGAATAAATTAAATTCGATTACACTAAACAAGCATTGTTTTATGTGACCAATGCGCAAAAAAAATCTATACAGGGGGACAAATTACTTCACACAGAAACAGCGTGACTATTTGTCATGCATTATAACAATTTATTTGACATTTCAACAGATTCACGTTTGCTCTCAGACGTCCATTGCTTCTAGAACTTCTTCAACTATGGCGAAGGCGGAATCGTCTTCTTCGTCCACGATGGCCACTGCGGGACCGAATAATTCTGGAACAGTTTCTTCTTCGGTAGTCCATCTGCGTGCGTTATCAATAGCAAATTTAAATTATCAATACATGAAAATAAACCTTCATTAATGATCAAAGCATGAAAAGATATGGATTTAAGAGCACGTTCACGTAGGTAAAATTTCACGAAGTTCACTCAACCAGTTCAATATTTTCTCAAGACATTTCATCACCAATTGCACTCTTTTTATCGTCGCAAATCAATATAAAGGCTTACTTAATCTTCTCAAAGAGCGAAAACACCTGGCTGAACTTATCTTAGCGACGACAAGAGTTTTTAACGCATTTTCTCATTTATGGAAAAAGGGCGCTATTGTGCGCGTCAAGTCCGTCCGTCTATTCGCCTGTGTCCGTTCGTCCGTGACCACATTTTCGTCGACGAGAAAATGCGCTCTGTCACTCGCTGCAGTAATTGCCGAGTTATATTTTTTATTCATTAGTACTTCAATTGATATTGAGAGCAATATCTGGAGTCTTACTACCCAACCTTCATCTCAATCTAGTCCTAGCGAGGTTTACATCCAATAACCACGAGTTTACTCATGTTAGGTTACGCCCCCAGACTCGATCGCAACCGCTGAAATTTCGATCTATTCTTCTTACTTGCAAACGCCGTAGGGATCGCCTCTGTTCTCCCACACGCAGTCCAGATCTCGACCGCACTCGTTAGCCCTGCTCCACGGGCCTCCACAACTGCCTCCCGGACCCTAAGCATGTCATTGAAATACCATCAAATTCACCGAATAGGAACTTTTAAATGCCATAGTCTTATCAAATCGTAAACAAAGTTATGATCAGTTGGTCGCTAAATTTAAAACTCCTAAATTAGAACGAAGGCAGGGAACTTTTTTATTTCATGCGGCTTGCAGGAATGACCAATGAATCGGCATGCAGGCACAAACTACCAAGATTGCACACACGAATTCCCAAGAACACCAGTACACCACTTCGAATGTATGCTATAAGACGCAAATGACTAAAGCCCCGTCCACACGTTCAAACTTATCGTCAGTCTTGCATGTCATGCCAGGTTTGACGACAAGACGGAGCGTGTGGACGCTTTAGTTTGACGTCTTGCATGACGGGTGGGCGGAGTTTGAGGTTTGACAAAGAAAAGGGAAGCCTGCCGAAGTCCACCACTGCCCTGGATGTAATGGACTATCATGACTCCTGCCCTCCGGAACGTAGCCTTCAACACTTCTGGAAAATCATATAGGCAGCCGAAAGCTCGATCGAATGGCCTAGCGTCGTCCGCCGTACCGCGAAAAAATTGTACACCACTCGGACGTAGCGCGCCGGAGCCTTGCAGCGAATGTGATATCCGCCACCAAGCCGTCCGTATCTAGGCAGTGCGTCGAACCAACCCTCGGTCGAACGCCCGCGGGTCGAACGCTCCGGCCGAGTGTTAACCCAACCTAACCTAACCTAACCTGACTCAGCCAGTCGCACGGCTCTTTCGACCGACGGCCTGGTGGTGCACGGCAGGTTTTATGCGAGGCCGGAGGTGGGCAAATCCAAGTGGTTGCAGGCTGTTGCGCGCAAGTTGCAATTCGAGCGGTGGCCAGGGTATGAAGTGATGCTTCGACGCAACGTTCAGTGGTGGGCGGCCATTCGACCCTAGGCTATTCGACCTCGTGTCTGGGGGGGTGTGGAGCTCAAAATATTCAAAGCAGAAGGATGTCAATGGTTGGTTACGGATAGCAGATTCCATTCACGGCTGATTGGTGGATGTCCGGAAAGATCCAAGGCGTTCGATTCAGGGCTTATTGGTGTACAAAATTTGTGGTGCACGGCTGCGTTCCCGCCGCATAGGCCAGTAATCTCTTGTTACCGTAGCTTTTTGATCGAATTGATCATAAACGTGGGAAACTACGATATAACTCCATACTCCCGTCATGCAACATATAACTCCGCCCACCCGTCATGCAAGACGTCAAACTTTGAGCGTCCACACACTCCGTCTTGTCGTCAAACCTGGCATGACATGCAGGACTGACGATAAGTTTGAACGTGTGGACGGGGCTTTATTGTTCAAACTTTACGCTATCTCAGTCTATTTTGATGATGAGAGATGTTTCATTGTTCCTCGCTAGCTCTAGTCTTTCATATCCCAGGATATCCGACACTGGTTTCACGATTTATTATGGCGAGTTCATTGAATTATATCGTAGTTTCCCATGTTTATGGTAAATTCAATCATAAATCTACAGTCACAAGAATAAGAGAGCACTGGCCTATGCGGCATTGCTAGTTAATTGCAAAGAAGTTGATTATACAGCAAACAAAGGCTTTGTAACGAAGAAAATAAACTCTTTATTGAAAAGAATGTGCCAAATTGAAGTCGTCAATGCTGTCTGGTGCTGGTAGGGATGCTGTCTATCAACCCTCATGGTGGTATTTTTTAAAACCGTTTTCGGGACCACCGCGTACGTTTGCATCGCTTTAACCTAATTAGGGTGACGCAAGCTGCGATCACTGCAGCGAGCAGCACTACCTCCTCCATTGTCGCGAACGCACTAAAAACTGAAGGAAAGTTTGAGAGTGTGGACGCTCTTCAGTCTTCCGTCAAAATCGGTGAAACCTGACATGACATGCAAGACTGACGATAAGTTTGAACGTGCGGACGGGGCTCAAGACTTTGCGGTTGCCTTCGGTTAGCTGGTGAGAACTCTAATCGGCACAAAATTATGCAGTAGAGATGATGACTCTGCCAACAGCGAAGGGCTGCAAACCAGCATGGGCAAAAAGAACTTGAATAAATTAGGCTCTAACCGGATGAAACCTAACTCATAACCATAATTAATATTAATCTTAGTTAATCACACTAAAATCACCTTTTTGCAGGTCATACAACACCCGCACTCTGAGAGATACACTCCGCCGAACTTGCATTTGCCGACAGACGGGCACTGGACGCGCGGGTCTTTGCAAGCCAGGCACGACAACGCCCTGACATTTGTCATCACCAAGCTGTGAAGGGAGGGAATTTATCCGAGGTTACAATATTAATCGTTACTTCGTGCCATACAGAAATATTAATTGTTACTTCGTGCCATACAGAAATATTTACTGTTGCTTGAAATAATGTACACGAATGAACTCGAATTTAAACAGATCTCGGGAATTCAGCTCAAGAAATGAACATTTAACTTCTAATTGTCTCTCATCGGAATCATGTTAGTCATGGCTGCTACTACGCAGACAATTGAAACAATCAACTTTCACCATACAAATTTAACACTACAGATAATTTCAAACGAAAGAAATTGCAGCAGAGACTAAAACTAATTAACAATAATGTAATAACATACCTTAGTATGAAGAACGTCAAAAATATTCGAGCGCTCATCGCAAAATAAGTAAATGACATTGAAATATGAATAAATTGAAATTAAATCTTTCAAATAACGGCCTAAAGTAACGATGAATTCGTGATTATCGCTTATTTAGTCTCTTTGATTGGAAAGGACACATTTACTGAAGTATTAAATCGCATGTGCTAAGGATTCATTGCAAGGCTTGTGGACATGCATTGAATTTTAAAATGAGACGTGCCGTAAAGGTAATATTTCGTTAGCTTATCCGAAATAAGATCTTGACGCTTCAAGTTGACAACCAAATTGTTGCTCTAAAATTTGAATCTATTCTTTCATGTAACTTGGGGATTAGATATAGAAACTAAAGTGAATGAACTGTGCTGGGATATCAGCGGTACAATAGCCAATCGACAATGAAAAATCACTTCCAATATTTTAAATTATAAAATTAATTATATTAGAACCAAGTAAATTGTAGCATTTTTTAGTTTGAAACCTTGGTAGCATCCTGATTAAAAAATTTTCATGAATAATTACAAATAATTGGAAACGAATTGAAGAGTCAAAGTAAACTAGTCCAACGAAAAAATTTATCATCATATACAGAGGTAGTCTCAACGCAAGAGAATATTGAAATAAAATCACATTTGCCTATTGTATTTGCTCAGGCAACATTCACATCTTAACGAATATAAAATAGTAACAATGTCTCCTTCCTACGGATGCTCTCCTTTCTTCTTACGGAGAAAAGCATTAACATGCACACCATTTCTTTACATATTGATAAACTCCAACCCATTTTAAAAGAAAGTCAATTTGAAGGAAAAATATTAGCTTAGTAAGCAACTTTACGCCTTTATGATCGGTCTGCAGTGATAGGAAGCTTGCAAAGCTCCGCATCGCAGGATGAGACTGAAATTATACTGACTGACGGTTCCTATATCCTTAGCGTAGCACCGGCACCGAATTTTGTAACACACTATCTTGAACTTTTCGGGACGATAAATTGTACTCCTGGTGAAATAGTACTCCTGGTGAAATTGTGGTACTCGCCATTGCCAAGTTTTTTTTATAAAATTCATTGACTAGACTTTGACCGCGAAGGTCAGTATTATTAATTAGTAGTGAACGTTTTGGGACAGACATAAGTACATCACTGACCTAGGCTAGTCGTTGCTCGACCCAAAAGCCCGGTTTAAAAACAAAAAGAGTGATTTTATTAAATAAAAATTTGCGAATACAATTTTTCATGTTGAGCCCGATGACAAAATCAAATTATGCCTTTTTTTTATTCATTTAAATCCCAACTCACTTCAGTTTACGAACCATATCTGAGGGCAGGAAAAGTTCTCCAATTAAGGGGCATGCCTCATTTAGCAGAGGTTCCCAATATTTTTGTGATCGAGAACTATATGCGAAGGAAGGGAAAGTTTTCCCATTAATGCGCATGCCACTTTTAACAGAGGTTCACAATATTTTCGTTATCTGGTACAGTATGCGAGCGAGGGCAGGGAAAGTATTCCAATTACGCACACCTCATTTACCAGGGGTTCACAATATTTCTGTGACCGAGTGCCATACGTTATGGCAAGGAAAGTTCTGCGAATACTGCGCATGCCACAATTATCAGAGGTTCCTTTTTTTGTTTAATTAGTAAGTCCCGTACACTCACCGCGTGTCACGAGCTGTCTGTGATTAGGACGTTTGTCCTCTTTTTAGATTAGAGCTATAGCTGTTAAAGTGTAGTGTAGATGTTGTACTTCATTCCCCTCCAGTTTGTCAAATGAGCTTTACCTTTAATTTTCCACCACTTCTAATTATTCTGATATGATTGAACACTAACAGCAAGTGAATAAATTTGAAAACACGGCGTTGCGTAATGTGAATTTTATTACTTGGATTGACTATGTTATGATTGGATGAAAATTTGCAAAGTTTGCATGGAAAACTATGATTGGCTCTTAAATGGCCCCAAAAATAAATCAGAAGTGGAGCCTAAAAATTTTAACTTATGAATTCATTCATATCAGATCATGAATCATCCTCATATATCACGGATGCTAGAAAAACCTTTATAACAAAATGATTTAACAAATTATTACTTACGTAATCTTGGTACTTGTTTGGGACATAGCAGTCCCAGGCCACGATGGATCATGAATCATCCTCAAATATCACGATGCTAGAAAAACCTTTATAACAAATGATTTAACAAATTATTACTTAGGTAATCTTGGTACTTGTTTAGGACATATCAAACAGTAAATATTATTTATATTGCTCATAATTAATGTATAAAATTATATAATTTCGTGTAACCCAACAGCATTCCGTCTCTAGGTTTTCCTTTGTGTGAAGGTTCACCAGACATTTCCGCGGGGGAATGAACATCGCTAAATGCTTCATCGTGTCACGGTGTGACAACTTTCTAACAAGTGCACTGAGTGAAGTCCACTTCACTGGACATCGTCATTAAATTTTAAGCGGCCGTTGAGTGCAGCGCGTAGATGTATCTGAGTATTCATCTCTAAATTGTGTTCAGGCTAAACATTGCGTAAAATTATATGTTAGCTTAATCAAATATTTCCAATCATTGTTAAGAACCAAATTTTTATTTCCAGGACCAAATTGGAATATGATTTTGTATCAGACATATTTTTTCGTTAAATAGACAAATTTGATATTATATGAAGACGTCAAATGAGAGGCAACACTCTGCGACTACAAAAAAAAAACAATGCTCTCGAATGGCAACATTTTCAACCGGCTTAATAAGTTAATCGCACGGAAACGATATGAATAGTTCTGAAATCAGGCAATAGTTGTGGCTGCTGCCTGTTGATCCGATTATTATTGATCCTAACTTTTTTTCTGTGACCCGTTTTGATTATTCAACTTGCTTGCATTCTAGAGTTTCTTATGACTTGTCAAGTTCTTCATTTTGTGACGAGACAGTTTAGTTTTTTAAAACCAGTTCATTTCAAATCTCCCCGTATCCCCCTGACTCAAGATTTTAGTGATAATCAATTCTGAGTCCTGTATGATAATGCTGGTACGATGTGCCAGACTGGCAGCGGCAGGTGTGGTAGGCCTATCCATGATACTTTACTGGTCTAGGCTACTGGCTAGGCTACTTCTATTTTTTTAAGACACAAAAATGAAGTTGAATCTTGAAAAAGAACTCTGCTTTACACTCTGAATTGCCATTGGTAGTAATTATAATTATTTAAGTTTGAGAAGCTGTTTAGATCAGTCTAAAGGTGTGGTTCAGTTTTCTTTACAAAATTCCTAAATTATATTAAGTTATTGTCTTGGATGTAATTGATGATTTGATGTAACCTCTCATTCTCAAATCTCAGGCTCTCATACCTACTCATAACTCATGTCTCATAAGTTATGCATTTGTGAGTTGTGACATACGCCGATACGGTAGGCTATTCATGAATCTTAAGCTGTTGTCTTTAAAGTTTGCAATGCACTATAAAATTCAAATACGTATATTAGAAATGTGCATGAGCATGACAGTGCAATGGCCAATGAGTGCATCATGCTATTGCCATGCAGTCATGCACTATGTTGTCTATGCAGATGCAGTACCTAGCTATTTCATTTGTGTGTAGGGACTTGTAAACCTGTATTTAGTATTGTTAAACCTAATCTCATCCTTAGCTAGTTAAACTATTACAGTATTACTGCTATAAGTGCCATTTGCTATATATTTATTACTTATTAGCCTAGGTAATAGGTAGTACCGTAGTCCGTAGGGCTAGTAGTAGTAGGCCTTGGTAATTCCTATAGTCTATTGTAATCCTATTTTTACATGCAATTTTATAAAATTAGGCTACCTGTGAAATGATTGGTTTTCCCACAATTTCAGGAAACTTTTGCATTTGCCTGATATTCCAAATAGGTCTCCCAACTTTCTCAAAAACTCTCATATCCTATGATGGTCCTTTCACTCCTTTGGGAATTACGTTTGACTTTGCAAAATTGCATGAGTTGTAAAATGTCAAGTCTAAGACAGTAAGACTACACAGTAGACTAGACTCTATTAAGTCTATTTCAACTTGGAGATTTTTTATGGTGTTAATCTTGTTGCAGTTGCTTGAAACTACCAATTGAATTAATTTGTCAAAGATCTTATTTTGGCCATTTCTTATTACCTTCATGTTTCAATAGCCTCAATTTTAGTTTGGAATTTATGTACACATTCCTTGTATGGATATTACATGAAATTGTGTGGCTCTTGAGTGAAAAATTTTGTTATACATTTAGAATTTTGTTATTCATTTAGAATTTTGCTACCCAATTGTCAGTTTATTAAAGAATTAGGTACAAGTTACTACAAGATAACTCATCTAGCGGAAATATTGTGGCTCCAAAGGATCAAAGTTGGCCAGAAAGCTCTTGGCCATGCTAGCCTAAATTCTATGGTGGTTAGCACTTTGTGTACACTGTGCAGCATTAGTAATAGTTGTTTGACTGATTCCTTAAATGGTGGATGGGAAAAGCTGTCTGGATGTTGTGTGCCTTTACTTCCTACAGTAAAAGGACTGAGTTAATAATAGTAATACTAATGCCTAATAATAGTGGTTTCAGCATATAGTAGGCCATAGGCATTATGCCAATTCTTAACATCGTAGAACATTCACAGCATTTTGAGGTCTCAAACTCGCAAATCACTGCTACAATTCTGCTGTGCTTAACTGCCCGGCCTCCTTGCCGATTCTGACCAGAAACTGGCGCACAGAGCTGGGATCGAACCCGCACCTCTCTGCGCCAATCTTGGTACGGTACTCTGAACTGTAACCACTGGGCCACCCTGATTTTTTGTTTGGTGTTCCATGGCTCATGACAATAGCTGGGATTTCTCTAATAAATGTTGATTTTCAGTTTAAAAAATAACCTGCATCATGCCAAATAAGAAGAAAAATAAGCCAAATGCTTATTTTACGTTCCTGCAAACAAGGAAACCAAAGGTGGAAAAAAATTTAGGTCGTTCTGTTTCCTATGATGAAGTGAGCCAATATGTTGGTGCTGAATGGGCTGTAAGTATTGTCTGTTGAGCTAAATTTTAAACAATATTACAAAAGAATACTACTGACTAATAATAAAGTTATTGGAAGAGAATTTTTTTTAAATTTAAAGAGTAGGTTATTGATTTTTTGGAGTTGAATCTACTCCCAAGTACAGATCATTCATTCTGCTTTGGTATGGTAAAAAGATTCTTGTAAATTTTGTACGAAAATTTTCTTCAATATTGTTCAATATTCAAGTATACTTATGTGATCTATTCCCATTTATCAAGCAAGGCCTATGTGGCAGTTTTGAAAGAAATTACTTTAGTACTGCTAGTACATAATTTTAGGGTGCAGTTAACTGATGTATTTGCTGTATTTACTGCAATATAAACTAATGTGTACATATCTTATGCTTCAAAAGAAGTTAACCCAGCAAACTTAATGGAATAAATCCTCTTTTTTTTTTGATCTAACAATGTGTTTGACTGGATATTTTTCAGAGGATGTCAGCGGCTGAGAAAGCCGAGTATGCTCCATACAAGACGCACGTTCCTTTGGACAGCTTTGGTGTGCCACTATATGTGCATCAGGAGAAACAAGATATGATGAAGAAGATGCATGAAGAAATGGTTCAAGGAATAAAAAACTTAGTGGACCTGCATACTGTTGCTCAAGGTTGGTCCTATGAATGCCCATTCTGAATTGTATGCATGCTCAACAGTTGAGTTTTCTTTTTCTTATCATCTAATGAGCAGTGTCAGATTTTGTCCTGTCAGATTAAGGAACTGATGCACCATCCATGACTTATTATATGCTCATACTAGTTCTCAACTCAGTGTCAAGAAATGGTCAGTAAAAATTATTTGAGGTCTTCATAGTCACTGAACCTAAATTCAGTTGTAGGATCACCTTGACTTCATTATGACCCATTTCTTCTCTCAATTGTTGTGAAATTCCAAGATCATGTATTCCTCTTAGCTATGAGGGATTGCCACAAAAATTATCTGTTGAACTTTAGCAAATAGTTTGACTTGCCGGAAGAAGTAATTATTCAGTAAAGTTTGTGTTGTTTCTGTATTACTCTCTTTTTCAAGTAATCACAGATAATCTTTGAACTATCCATCTAATTTCCACGTGTCATTTATATTGGTAAGTTTCATTGAAGACCAAAAACATAATTTATAATTCCTCAAATCTCTTTGCTTACGACTTTGCTCATCATTTCACTGTTGAAATTAACTTTGACATCATTACTGATCAGTATTACAACAGTAATAGGGGAATATTCCCCAATTTTTCTTATTCTAAGACTAATAAAACAAATTTTTTTCCATTGTGCAGATTTAGCTCAGCTGGAGTTTGTAGTAATGGCGGCAACAGACTATATCACTACGGAGAAATCTGAAGTTGTTCCTGCCGAGATAAGTCTCGTGAGGGTCAGGCTTGCGACAGGCTTGGATCCTCGCCAGTATCATGCCATACTCAAGCGTAAGGGAGTGAAGACACTGAATTAGTGCTGAAAGAAATGGTTCAATACCTTATCTCTTATGCTGCCTGCATGCCATCAGTGATTGTGTTCCACGCAAGAAAATTCTATTGATGTAGTCTTTCTTTCCAAGTTCTGTACTAGAGTCTAAATGTAATGTACTTTTTGTCTGAATATTTACTTGATTTGCTATGAATGTTAATGAAAGTGCAAATGTCAAGGAAATTTGTGGGCATGTGCGACTGTCATAGCTAAAAGTCACGTCACATGTGTCTTATGCACTAAATTTGACTGCATGTGTGTCTTTATGCACTAAAAGTGACTGCATGTCTTTATGCACTAAATTTGACTGCATGTGTCTTTATGCCTTAAAAGTGACTGCATGTCTGTCTTTATGCACTAAATGTGACTGCATGTCTGTCTTTATGCACTAAATGTGACCGTATGTGCGACTGTCTGCATAAAATGTGACTACTTGTGTGACTGTCTGCATAAAATCTGAATGCATTTGCGACTGTCTGCATAAAATTTGAATGCATGTGCGACTGTCTGCATACAATTTTGATGCATGTTTGACTGTCAGCATAAAATGTGACTGAATTTTCGACTGTCTGCATAAAATGTGACTGCTTGTGCGACTGTCTGCACTAAATGTGACTGCATGTGCGACTGTCTGCACTAAATGTGACTGCACGTGCGACTGTTTGCACTAAATGTGACTGCATGTGCGACTGTCTGCACTAAAATGTGGCTGCATCTGCGACTGTTTGCACTAAATGTGACTGCTTGTGCGACTGTCTGCACTAAATGTGACTGCATGTGCGACTGTCTGCACTAAATGTGACTGCATGTGCGACTGTCTGCACTAAATGTGACTGCATGTGCGACTGTCTGCATAAAATGTGACCCTATTTTCGACTGTCTGCATAAAATGTAACAGCATTTTCGACTGATGACGAATTTCATTTCTAATTGCTTGTGTGCTTTACAGCCCCGCGGGTGTGGCCGCTGGGCTACGAAGCAGAGATGCGCCTGCACGTCGCTGCCACGCATCATCTGCCGACTGACCGCAGCAGCCCTGAGTGCGTTGGTTCAGACGACTTCTCTCTCGTGACCGCTGAGATGTCAGCCTTCCTGCAGCCTGGCTTACAGGTAAGTGGCCGCTGAGATGTCAGCCTTCCTGCAGCCTGGCGTACAGGTAAGTGGCCGCTGAGATGTCAGCCTTCCTGCAGCCTGGCGTACAGGTAAGTGGCCGCTGAGAGGTTACCTTCCTGTAGTGTAGAGTGTAGACAAATAAGTGGTTTTTCATAGGCAGTTAGAATCATGAGTGCGTGTCTGTTGACCTTCTGCGTTAATTTTTTTTATTATTTTTTTTTCATTTGTGATGAGAATATTTCATCGAGAAATTGCATGTCTGTGTCAGCTTTTGAACCCATTCACCTAATCACAACTTTCATAGGGTTTGAGGCAATACGGTGATGCTTAATAAATTACGGTTCATGAGGAATGAAGAGGTGCGTTCCACTGTTAGTATAAGTTGCCAGTGTGAATGCCTTTAATAAATGTATTTAGATTATAGTGGTAACTCATCATTCATTTATATAACTCGAAACATGATACTTTCATACTTGCGTGGAAGAAAATGCGTGAAATTGAATTTACAAGTTATTCATGTAAATACTAGATATCTTAAAGAAGCGTGTAGCTTTAATTCAGTTATATTTATCGCTTAGAGTATCCGTTTCTGGGGGTCTATTTTGCTGTATTATACCTAGCGTAACAGGTGCTACCTTCAAGCATTTGAATTAGATGAAAAGAGAACGAAGGTATTGAATAAGCTAGTACAAGTAAACAAATTTCCTGTCTTAAATTTTCTCTGATACAGATAGCTGACTCCTCAATGTGCTCAACTTATTGCTAATATGTCATATGAAGTAGATCGCATTGATCGCAGATGCCCGTCCGGAAGTGGATGATGTCAATATATTAAGAGCGTTGTGTGCCTGCCGTTCTCTTTCCAATGTTTGTCCAAATCTTGTGATTAGAAGGGATCGCAAGTCTCGCCTAAAAGCTGGCGGGATCGGCCAAGTGTCAATCTACCAAATTGAACAATTTATCTTGAGAATCATATGGCAACAAACGAGTTCCTTCAGATGACTTTCCTTTATTAAATCAAAGAAGATAACTACCTATATTTAAAATTGTCTCGTAAGATGCTTAGCTTCCATTTTAACTAATAATATCTTTATTCAAAAAAATATTTCTTGAAAATTGTCTGCAACTGAGAAAGGAAAACAAATCAACTGAGCCGTCGTAAAAGACGCAATTTCTAAAAAAAAACTTGATTTTTCAAAACTAATTGATAAACGAATGTGAATTTAGTAATTTAATTTTTCAGGAGGTGTCTGGAGGCGGGCTGTCTCCTGTTTTCACTCTAACTGAACGTCAGGGCATCGTGAGGAACATCTTATCGCAGAAATTCAATATGTGTATGTTGAATTTATGAGCAAATAGTTTTTAATTAAAACTTCAATCAAGTGAAAATAAGGTTAATTCACTTTTATTGTGCCTGGAATAGAAAATGTAGCTACATGTCACCTGGAGACTCATTTAATGGTTCAATGGTCCAGAATTTATCTTTTCATGGGACGGACGCTATTTTAATCGCCTTATTAAACCTACGATGAAGTGAGCTGATTCTGATAACTTTCAGTTTGAAACTCAGGCGTGCTTACAACAAGATATATACAATGTAATACACAATAAAGACATGCCACGGACAAATTTAAGACTTGCCGCGGTCAAATTTAAGACATGCAACCGATAAAGTTAAGACATGCCTCTGACAAAGTTAGGACATTCCACGGACAAATTTAAGACGCGCCACCGACAAAGTTAAGACATGCCTCTGACAAATTTAAGACTTGCCATGGTCAAATTTAAGACATGCCACCGACAAAAGTTAATACATGCCTCTTACAAAGTTAAGACATGCCACGGACAAATTTAAGACATGCCACGGACAAATTTAAGACAAAGCTCGGACAAATTTAAGACATGCCACCGACAAATTTAAGACATGCCGCCGACAAATTTAAGACATGCCACCGACAAATTTAAGACATGCCACCGACAAATTTAAGACATGCCACGGACTAATTTAAGACATGCCACGGACTAATTTAAGACATGCCACGGACTAATTTAAGACATGCCACGGACAAATTTAAGACATGCCACGGACAAATTTAAGACCTGCCACGGACAAATTTAAGACCTGCCACGGACAAATTTAATGGTAAGCTAAGCACCATTTCTCTGCAGGTGACGTCAAGGTGTGGTCACTGGAGGAGCTTCTGGTGCAGATGTACGTAGCCCTGCACCCTGAGCAGGTAGGCGTGTATTCCACCGTCTTCGCCCTGGACGACATAACCTCCGCTCCCAACTCGCCTGACTTCCACCCCGACCTCGGATGTGAGGTGCTGTATACCTCTCATGTTTCTTATACTGTGTATTGTGCGAGTTGTGTAGGCTGTGTGCTGTTATATGTATGTCGTTTCCTGTGTAACTCTGATGGTTATTGAAGTGTGGTGTGTACTTCTTAGCTCTGATGGTGATTAAACTGTGCATTGTCTGCTCTATTGTATCTGTTGTGTACTCTGTAGTGCTGATGTGTATGCGCGGTGACTGTACCTCTCACGTATGTTATACTGTGTATTGTTCGAGTTGTGTAGGTTGTGTGGTGTTATATGTATGTCGTTTCCTTTGTAATTCTGATGATGGTTATTGATAACTTCTTAGCTCTGATGGTGATTAAACTGTATATTGTCTGCTGTAATGTATCTGTTGTGGACTATGTGCTGTGTAGCTCGAGGTGCTGTGTACCTCTCATGTTTGTTATACTCTGTATTGTATGTCTCTGTGTATGTCGTTTCCTGTGTAACTCTGATGGTTATTTAACAGTATGTTGTACACTTCTTGGCTCTGATGGTGATTAAACCGTATATTAGCTGCTGTATTGTATTTGTTGTGTACTCTGTAGTGCTGACGTGTATGTGCTGTGTAGCTCTGATGCGAGGTGCTGTGTAGCTCTGATGTGCGGTGCTGCGTAGCTCTGATGCGAGGTGCTGTGTAGCTCTGATGTGAGGTGCTGTGTAGCTCTGATGCGAGGTGCTGTGTAGCTCTGATGTGCGGTGCTGTGTAGCTCTGATGCGAGGTGCTGTGTAGCTCTGATGTGTGAGGTGCTGTGTAGCTCTGATGTGTGGTGCTGTGTAGCTCTGATGCGAGGTGCTGTGTAGCTCTGAAGTGAGGTGCTGTGTAGCTCTGATGTGAGGTGCTGTGTAGCTTTGATAGCTGTTGTGATGATTGTTTACTTGATAACGGGCGAAACATAATAGCTGCGTGATGTGGTGAAACGGGTTGTTGTTATTAATATATTCATCCTAATTATAAATAATGTCCGCAGTTTGATCCAAAACTGGCAGCTTTATCCGCCGTTGCCTGGGTTCATGCACGATATTTGAGATACTCCTTATTCTGAATTAAATTTCATCAAATCCAATTATTCAGAAGACAGCCGTTTTCTATGAGAAATGTCAGAATTATATCTTAACTAAGTTTTAATCATTGATATTGAATTAGCTCAAAAATTCAGATCGTCTCTTCTTTGGCCTGGACTAAAAAATTGGTCAATAAAAATGAAATTTGTGCCTCTTTAGTACTGTATTGTTGTGCCTCTGTTCCGCCACCAAAAATACAATTTCAGATTCTTTAAGTATCCCCACGTGGTTGGTACTGTGGTATGTATCGCTCACAAATAAACTCAATAAATTTACAGCGCTTGGGTTCAAACACATTAGCAAACTTACGAAAATTTAGATATATTTAATTTTTTGCGGTTCATCCTACCACAACATTACGAGACCGCGGCGGAACCTTGGACACTCGTGTGTTCGATTCGCCTAAATCGATCATATTCAAATCATCAAATGCTTGTTATATCCATTTTATTTCCCCTCACCCCCCCCCGTGCCATCTCGCCCTTGTCGTGGGGGGGGGNACAGTGATACCCGGCAAAACTACTACCCCAACACCACTGCTCTCAGCCCAAATGAAATGCTGTCTAGGATGCTCAGGGAAGTTCCCCGAAGCACCTTTAGAACTGACAACCTTAGACAATACCTAATCGAGTGTAACCTGCTGCCAGATATCTAGCACGGCACCTTGACAGAGGTCAGAAAAGACCCACATATCCGACAAGACGTCATATTCGTGTCATCATGTTACTGGTTGAGATGAAATAGCAGAAGACGGATAGAGCCTGCGCCTTAGAAATAAAGAAGTATACACCCTAGACCAGATGGATCAGGCTACGAGCCTGAAACCAACGAAGAAGCCTGCCGACCCTGCAAAACGAATATTGGACCTTCGGCGCGAAATAGACGACACTGATCTGAAGCGCTAGAAACCTCTCCCTACTACTACTACTACTACTACTATTTCCCCTCAATCTTCATCTTCTGTCTTCAATGAAATATTCTTCCATATCCATTGCATATTCCTGTCGTCGTTATACTTTATCTTGGTCAAAACATCATATGAATTACAACTACCTTTTCTTGACGCTGGATATTAATTGTATATCCATCATGAAACGGAAAAGACTATAACACTCCTCGTACATTTAATTAATAGTAGAAATCATTGCAGTGGCACCGTGTGCAGCAAAGCGACGAAGTAAACCAATGCAGTCTGAACATGGCGCAGCGTTGGAGCTTCATGTTCCTGCAGGCTTTGCGGCTGGAACAGTCGCTCGGTATAAGGCTCGTGCCGAACCGCCATCTTCCTGGACCGACATCGTGCTCGGGAACGCGTATAGCGCTGTCTGCTCATCAAACGTCCGTGAGTCGGCAACCGCGTTCCCGACTCGTCTTGAGATTGATTATTTAATTCTGGCAATGGCAATTTTTGGTTGCAGGTTCATCCATTTGGTTGGCCAAATTTCGTGTGTACGTAAAATTTCCCCTGTATCGTGCTGTATCATATATTGTGCTGGCAAGCATTGTTTGTTCCAAGTTCCTTACGACGCTTGTTTTTCGACCATTGAACATGATGATCAAGTAGGTACGCATCACAATTTTGGCCGTTTGGCAGTAAAATATTTCAGCAATCCGGAATACGCCGTTTGGCAGTAAAATATTTCAGAACCGAAATACCCAAGAATTAATATAAGAAAATACAATTTTCGTATCAGAGAAATCGCCGGCATCAACTGTCCAGCCAGCAAAGCCTGTCGCGTCACCTCAGCCAGCTTTCATGTAGCGACTTCAGCGACGACACACCTCCATCCAAGAAGGACGTCGAACATGTACAGTACTCTTACCATAATAAACTCCATATTATAATTTTTTTGTTTATCATGAGTCATTGAATATCAACGCAGATGCAATTACTCAACTTTTATTATAAGTAGTTAATATTTTCTCGATTAACTCTTGGGATATTTATTTCAGACCAAGTCAGCTGGTCTAGCACCGTCGGCCAACATTTCAGGCACGACGACGCCGAACAGCGTCACGTCCGAGGCAAGCAAACACGCTAACCCTCTGTTCGACTACTTCAGAAGGGGAAGAAGCTCTGAAAATTCTAACGGCTTTGATACTCCTGACGTCAAATCTACGTCAGATTTTCCTGCGCTCGGTGGGTCCCGGAAACATATCAACGGTAAAAAATGAACTAAGATTCGTTTATGTGGACGCGGAGGATTCGGGCGGTGCGAATGTGCAGAACTTTTAATTATTGAGAGGAATAAGCTAAAAGTTTTTTTTCAGTAAACGGAATAGAATGAACCGTTTATGAACGTGCGCCCGATTGAAGAGGATAAGTCTAGTAAGTGTCTCAAGCTTTAAATGAACGGAAAATTTATTTCTATGTTTTTTGCGGAGTCTTTCTTACCTTTGCGGTAAATTTAATTTTAGGAATGAAATCAAAATCGACTTCAATTTTCTGCAAAACACAGTTGCTAGTGTTGAATGGAACTAATCAAATTATTGAAGTTAACTTAAATTTCATTTACGATCTTCCAATGGTTCACCCATATATCCTGTCAACGTTTTGATTGACAACTGTTCATGTTTCATTAAATGTCTTCGATTGCACATGCAACTAATTAACATTATCGTGATACGGTTATCTTCGTTCTGGATTAAAAAGCCAATTTTCATCTCGCTGTTCATTCTCATCTGGTGGGCTCTTCAATAATGCACTTTGTCATTCATGGCAGTAGAAAGAGCTTCATCTGTCGGATGACACTTACGTTGCCCTGCTTCAGTTATGTTGATTAAAAATTCTCAGAAATTATGTGGGTTCCATTTCTATTCCTCAACGCAATCTAAAAAATTTTGGTCAAATGTCATAACGAAATTTTTGCTTTCCAACCTCATTTCCGAAATAATAAATCGGACTTTATTTTTATACAGTTTCAACAGTTTTTCAAGTTTTCTAAAAACTTCCTTTTTAATTGCACTTAGGCGTCGAATAATGATTCTGGATAAAAAAGAAACGATCGCATTCCAACTTTTCTAACGTTTCGGCTATCTATACTTCAAGCATCATCAGAGTGAATAAGAATGTCCAGATTTTATCTATACAAATTAAGGAAATTTGACATCTCTTTCCCCCCGTGCCATCTCGTCCTTGTCTCTGTTGGTTTGCGTGTCTTGATGAGATCCGAGGCTGTGCGGTATCAGATGCAATCATGACCGAGTGGCTCGGGTGGAGAGTCCAGACTAACAGAGATGGCAAAACGCCCTTCTGGTAACGGCCTGGCTCTCTTTAGGATACTCGAAGACCTTTCGCTGGACTGACGAACCCTGGCGGGGACCTAGACCCGACCCGCTATAGCTATGTTGAAGCTATAGCTTAAACAGTCATGCGTGGCAAGGGTTAGCTGCGGGACTCCTGGGCAGGCGGGGGGCTGCTTAAACACCGCGCAGACGGAGTGGCGCCCGTCTTGCAACGTTAGTCAAGCGCAAAACCTGCAGCGCCCACAACAACCAAAGCTACATCCGAGCGTACGAGTGTTCCCGTCAAGACTACGTGTGCTTGACACCAGGGATCCCCTTGTTGGAGACAGATACACGGGTGCCTGCTCAGCGCGTCGGACGAACCAAACAACCCGGACCAGGAAAATGAACTCTTTGAATGCGCCTCTCGTACCTGATAACCCCGACAACGGAAACGACCCGGACCCTCACTACGGAACCAACAATGACTTCTATCTCCAAAACGACAGAGCTGCCCTCCTCGAACCTTACGAGCCGGAGGACCGAGCAGGATGTCGGATATGAAGACCTTACAATGCAACCATATATACCGAGCAGAGAGGAAGAGTATAACAGAAACCACGGACAGACTGTAAGACCCAAACGAAGGAATAACCGCCTTCACTGGAGACCTAGCCTTTCGGACGAGAACCCAAATGAACCCCAACCTTCTGGACCTCCCCAAAAACAGTACAATAAATTCTATACGATATCTGCAAACAACGGCTGCGACCTGTCTAGCATAGATGTAATAGCAGCTAACCGAGAAATAGAAAATACGCTGAAAGGCAAACCAACAAAGATAAAAGAAACCAGAAGTGGAACACTTCTGGTCGAAACTGCAAACTACCAACAGAGTAGAACTATCGATTACGACGACGATTAAGTCCCTGGCTGGCGTACCAGTGACTGTTGCCGCTCACGAAAGGCTAAATGAGAGCCGCGGCACCATCTGGTACCCCAATCGACCAAACTACCCAGACGAAGACCTGGCTGAGCTATCTCAATACGGAGTAAAAGCAGTGTACCGTACAAAAAGGAGGGAGCATGAAGTATTAGTACCAACCCCAGTATATGTCCCAACTTTCGTTGGCTGTCACCTCCCGGGGCACGTTGCGGTTGGCTGGACGCGGTGCCAAGTGCGGCAATACATTCCTAAGCCGCGTAGGTGCTTCAAGTGCCAAGTTTTTGGACATGGTGCTTCGTCCTGTTGCCAGCAAACCGGCACGTGCGTCAATTGTGCGCGGGAACAACATGACCCTCCGTGCACGTATTCCGCCAAGTGCTCCAACAGCAAATTACCACATCCTGCCAGCTCTAACACATGCCATTTCTACAAGATGGAAGAAGAAATAATTGCAACACAAACGAGACAAAAGATGAGCTATGGAGAGGCCAAGCGAGCGGTCATGAGCCGATAGTGGCCCGATACGTCACCCCCCGGATCTCCTTCGCTGAGGCTACCCGACTTCCAGCAGGTCCGAGAACAGAGCCCGGAACAACAACCCCAAACAACATGCACCCAGGATAAGTAAATCAGACGGATCAACCCAGACGCCTGCAGAAGATACAGAAAAACTACAACAACAACCAGCCGAAGCTTCTACAACTAAGCAAGATGATACACATTCTAATAAAACTTACACCCGCACAAATGTGACAGCCAAACCACTACTGAAAGAATCATCAACAACTAATACCCAACGAAAGCGACAACAAAGCAGCACCTCCCCACCAACTGAAGCCCCCCAGGCCAAAACTACCAAAATACATCCCGTAGTTCTGCACAGCGCTGGCGAACATCGGCCGTCAGAACCCTCAGAAACTGGACATAAAAGGGAAAAGATCAGAAGACTGGGCGATACAAGCGCTGCTTATAGAGTCCGCTCCCTGGAACGCGTAACCAAAGTTCCCGAGTTAAGCAGCGACATACTTGGCAAATTCCCCATTCCACCGCACTTTGCTCTGGCCCTGCCTCCTCCCCCTAGGGTGGAGGTGCGCACGTGAAACATGAAGACTGGAGACCAAAAACCAACAGAAAGCAATCCCGCCCCCCAAAGAATAACAACAAACCCTAAATACCCCCAACCAGGAGGGGATCCACGAAAGGAGCACCAAAGCAGACATGGCGCAGACGCTCATTCAATGGAATAGCCGGGGATACCGTCGCAACTATAGCGACCTCCGGGCAATCCTCCAGGAACAGCAGCCACTCTGTGTATGCATCCAGGCGACAATGCTCGGAAACCTCACTCCGACCCCCCCGCAAAACTACAACATTGAGACCTTCTCAGACTCCCCCAACCCCAGACCCGGAACCGGACTCCTGATCCTGGTCAGGCGCGACATAGCGTTACTCAGACTACCGATCACCTCCCAGCTACAAGCAATGGCCGTCCAAACAAAAATAAATAATAAAATTCACACAATTTGCAATATCCATATACCACCGGGACACAGACTGACCCTAACCGAGATACGGGACCTGCACGAGCAGCTGCCGCGACCCTTCGTAATCCTCGGAGACTTCAATGGCAAGCACACTGCCTGGGGCAACAACATTATAGATCAAAGAGGGAGGCACTTTATAACAAACTGCAACATCTGCCTCCTGAACACGGGCGAAACCACCCACCTGCATGTACAGACGGGCACAACATCAGCCATCGATCTGAGCCTATGCACATCCGACATCGTCAGCAACGCCCGTTGGTCGGTGATGAGCGACACGTATGGCAGCGACCACTTCCCTATACAGATTGACTTTGCGATCCACCAACCCTTACCCACAGAGCCCAGATACATCATGAAAAGAGCCGACTGGAAGACCTTTAGAGCACTAACCCGCATGCCTGAACCAGAACTGGACTTGCCAGTAGATGAAATGACAAGAGACTTCACAGACACCATCCGAATGGCAGCGAATGTAGCGATTCCCCGCTCCAAAGGTGGAGCTGTCCGTCACCGTGTCCCATGGTGGAACGATGACTGCGCACGCGCAAACCTAGAAAGGAAACGAGCCTTACGTCGTTTCCAGCGCACTGGCAACATTGCTGATAAAATAGCATATAAAAGAGCAAGAGCAATCGCCCAATACACTAAAGATACAGCCCGGAAAGAATCCTGGAAACGATATGGCTCTTCACTGAATTCTGAAACCCACATGTCCAAAATTTGGCAACGCATCCGGAAGATCGCTGGAAGACCGGGCCTTACCCGGCCCTGTATGAGGATTAACGGCGCGCCGACGACGGACCCGCAGGTAGTTGCTACGGAACTGGCTCGATACTTCGCTGATATTAGCAGTGGACAGCACTACCCTCGCCCGTTCCTTTATTTCAAACACCAACAAGAACAACAACATCTTGACTTTGAAACAGACCACCAATACTCTTACAACGATCCAATCACCTACCTGGAAATCTTTAACGCACTGCAACAATCCACAAGGAATACCAGCCCAGGACCGGATGGCATCCACTACAAGATGTTAAAGAAGATGCACCCTACAGCAATCACTGCCCTGCTTGCCAAACACAGCAAAATCTGGACCTCGCACTCATATCCAACACAATGGCGAACAGCCACTGTCTTGGCCTTCCTAAAGCCCGGTAAACCCACGTCTGAAACACCCAGCTACCGTCCAATCGCCCTGACTAGCTGTGTGGGTAAAATCCTGGAGAAAATAGTCAATAACAGATTAATACAGCACTTGGAATCTCAATAGATGATCTCCCCCGTACAATACGGTTTTCGACCTCTCAGAGGCACCACCGAGGCACTCATCAGGCTGCAAAACCGCATTGTCAACAATACCGACAGTCAATACCGAAGGAAAACACACAATATGCGTTTTCTTTGATATGCAAAAAACATGACACCACATGGCATCACGGAATCAGGCAATTTATTCACAGGAACGGAATCAGGGGCAATATGGCACATTTCATCATAGAATTCTTACGACAGCGCTCCTTCAGAGTGAAGGTGGGCACATCTTTGTCACCCCTGCAGCCACAGATCCAAGGGGTACCGCAGGGTAGCGTGATAAGCTGCACACTTTTCCTAATGGCAATTAATGATATCACCACCTCCTTACCTCCGAACGTACAATCATCACTCTACGTAGATGACTTCATGATCTACGCATCATCCAGATACCTACCGACCCTCGCGCGCAAAATACAGATTGCCATAAACCGGGCAAACCAATGGACCGCAACTCACGGGTTCTCCTTTTCCAACGAAAAAACGACCGCTATACACTTCAAACGCGCACGCTCCATTGAACAGCCTCCGCAACTCAACTGTCAACTTCTTTTTCTGAAGTATTAGACCTTAGAATAGCGGAGGCAATAGCTATTAGACAAAATAATCCGTACATCAATGTAAAATACCAAGAGATATAAAATTTCCTTAATTTGTGTAGATAAAATCCGATAGGTGGCCTATTTTATTTCACTGTATTTTTATCCGAATTTCTATTCTCTCCAGATTATCATCTTATTTACTCTGATGATGAATTTACTCTGAT